CTCTCTCTCTCTCTCTCTCTCTCTCTCTCTCTCTCTCTCTCTCTCTCTCTCTCTCTCTCTCTTCCTTCTCGCCATTTTTTTTCAACGCACTCCCGAAAGGATCTTCTTTCTCTCGATCAGTCGATCAGGTAGGTAACTTGCAACCTTTCCTTGATCGCGTAGTTCTGTGGGTATGGGTTGGGGATGGAGGGAGGATGGGTTTGGAGCTGGTTTTGAGATGGATGAGATGAGGAAGGGGGAAGGGAGAAGGGAGAAGGGGAATAGAAGGGGAAGAGAGGGGGGGGAGGGGGAAAAGGGAAGAGGGAGAGAAGGGGAAGAGGGGGGGGAGAGGAGGGGGAAGAGGGGGGAGATGAGGAGAAAGAATTGATGTTGTATATCCTATCCCTTCTAGTGCGAGGATTCGAGGTGGTGTGGTGTGGTGTGGTGTGGTGTGGTATGGTATGGTATGGGTAAGATGCTAATTTCTACAGAATATGGGTTTTTATTTTTGACGGGTGGTAGGGAGGAGGGGGTAGGTGAGATGAGATGAGATGTGAGGTTATGTCATATTTATATATATATATATATATATATATATCAACATCCATAAATCAATATCACTATCCATAAATAGATTAACTCGAATCTCCTTCTCCCTTCAGCTTCCAGGACGAAGTATCTTTTCGAAAGATCGATTACATTATTCAATTGCTGGCCGGTTATCGTGAAGTGATGCGGTGAAGAGAGGAGTTTCCCATTTCCCAAACTGGGGAAGTTGATGGGGATTTGCTTACGCGGATGTGTATGTACCGGTAGGTATGCTTGCTTGTTAGGCTGGAATGCTGGACTGCTGGACTGTCAGACTGGATTGGATGTCTCTCTGCTGACGTCTCTTTGATAGAATCTACTCTTTTACATTGAATTCCCTATCTATATATATATATATATATTTTTTTTTCTCCTCTCCGACCTTGAGATCTAACTCGTATACAACCTTTTCTTCTTCTTCTTCTTCTTCTTCTTCTTCTCTCTCTGCCTTGATTCCTGCGGCTGTTTATTGTATTACCTTGGATACGAGCTAGGTTAGCATACGAAGTAGTTGCAACAAAAAAAAAAAAAAAAAAAAAAACCCCTTGACGTTAAGACTCTTTTCAAGTGAGTGATGAGTTGCTTAATTATATCATACCATGTTGAAGAACATTAATTTATCCGTTGCCATCTTTATTTGTTACTAATATCTCCACCCCCCTTTTTTTTGTTTATGTAGTGTAGTGTATTTTAGTATAGGAGGTAGGTGGGTACGTATTTATATAATATCTCTGCTTCTACGAAAAGCGAGTCGTCGAACAGGTATAGAATTTTCGTCGTGAGCTGAACCGAGGTGATATTTCATGGGGGAAAGGGGATACCTAGGGTAGTAGGGCGAGAGGAGCCGACGAGACTAGATATCAAGAGCAAAGTGAGTAGCTATAGAGATCTCTGAATTTCTGGGAATGTTATAATGTGATATGTTGTAATTATCTATGTTTCCAGCTACTTTACACGAAGGCGTTGCGATTGTAGGTAGAACGAGAGATTCTTTGCCGGTCTCGACGTTATAATTATGCTCGCTGTTAATAGGATATGTGTCTAGGATGTTAATGCAGAGTGTCGAGCCTTCTGGAGGAGGTTTTTTTTCTGTAGAAGACAGGGCCAGATATCTTTACTGACAATTTCTATTTTACGGAGTGCGAGGCTAGGATCCTTACCAAGGCCTGGAGTTGTTATCATCAAGGTCGCTCGAGCTAATACCCCTGCACTGTTTGACAGAATACCACTTTAGAGTACCAGTGAAAGCCCAGAAAATTTCGCGTTTCGAGATAATCTCATCAGGAGTGGTCTATTGTTACCTTTCGCGCTCAATTCTGGAAAAGCTTGACACCCCAGGCCTCAGTGAAGTCCACGGTCCGACCACCTCCGTTTGGAAGAGCCAAGGAATCGAGAGCCTTGACATCTTCGTCAGTGAGTTTTCGAATCAGTAGATTCGTCTTGATTCGCGCTGTACGATTGTCAGTCGCCGGAGATTCAAGAGCCATCAATTTGTTGCGTCTTCTTACATGGAGTGCTACTCTTTCCCAAGGGAACCGTTCCTCTCTGCACAGCCCAGCTCTGGAGCAGCTGGCCGACATCCATATCATTCTTCTCCGCGAGCCTCTTCACCTTCTCGTCTTTGAGTAGCGTGGCTCCGTCTTTCTTTTGGCCTGCAAAAGGCGAGTAGCATGTTGTCAGGATCCCATTCTCATTGCCGAACTTGATGAGCTCGTTTTGAGGAAGCCAAGGATGGACTTCAATCTGGTTGCAGGAGATGGGGATCTCTTTAGCGTGTGGAATGACTTCTTGTAGCTCGGCGACAGAAAAATTTGAAAGACCGATAGTGCGGGCTTTGCCTTTCTTTACCAGGGCTTGCATAGCGTTCCAGGTAGGGACGAAGCTACCAGTTTTGCCTACAAGATACTGTCAAATCAAATCGCCGCAACGAGAGACGGAATGGAGACTTACCAGATAACTTGGCAACATTCGCAGTACTGTGCTCCCAATCGATGACCGGCTTCCCCGATTCCATCAACTGACCCTTCTCCTCGGCAGAGCGCGTCGCACCACCCTTCGCCTTATCCAAGGAAGCTCTAGAAACTACTCAGGCCATCAGTCATTAAGTTCGCATCGATCTTGACCACATTAACGCTCCTTCGCTTCTTTCCGCACTTCCTCGAAAACCGAGGCAGATTTCACCTACTCGGCTTCGTGGCAAATGGCCAATGCGCCAGCCAAAGATCCACGTATTCCAGCCCCATCTCCTTAAGGCAAAGATCCAAACAAAGCTCCACGTTTTCCGGGGCAGCAAAGTGCGGCCAGAACTTCGTCGTGACGAAGATGTCGGATCTGGGGATTCCGGATTCTTTGATGGCTTGTCCAATCTCCTCATTGACGCCGTAGGCCCAGGCGCAGTCCAGATGGCGATAGCCTGCCTTGAGGGCGGCGAGTGTGGCGTCTTTGCACCATCCTGGCCCCTCTGAGTTGTGTTGTTAGCACGTGAGGTATGGGAGAGCGCTTGGGGTGACTTGCCTGCTGCCCAAGTACCGAAACCGACAGACGGGATTTGGATGGTTTTCCCGTCAGCGGCCTTCAATGGGGAATGAGTTGGGAGAGACATTATGGATATGTTTTTGAAAATTTGAATAATGACTTTGAATCGAGTATCTCATCAGAGCCGTTAAGGAAACGAAGTATTGGTAAAGTACCTGCTTACATAATCATGAAGCGACACCTCCAATGATGTCAGTTGCCGATCAACCAACCCCACGCTTGGCTCGATGCTTATAATCCGAAATGACCAAGAGTTGCAGTAAGCAGCAGCAACTTCGGATTTCTGAAATCTGGTACGGGTTTTTTTGCTGTTGTTAAGTTGTGTTTTCAACTTTTCATTACCAAAACTTTGGCGATATCGATATCTCGCTAAATCACCCCAAGCCTCAAGCTCCTGGAACCGGAACATTTGTACTACTACCAGGTCACCAAGCAGGAAGCTCAAAAGATGAGCAAACTGCGTGTGCTGTGCCTCCATGGCTTTACATCCAACGGTAGCGTACATGCTCATCAAGTTCGTGGAATCACAAAACCCCTCTCAGCCAGCTTCGAATTCATCTTCCCCGACGGGCCCCACGAAGTTCCTATATCAGACAAGATGAAGCAAGAAAGCCCATCAATGAGAACGTGGGCCGAATACGTTTCCATAAATTCAAAGTCTGGACATCGAGCCTGGTGGGTTGCCAAAGATCCCGACTCGACCAAGAACGAGCCAGGAGGCTTCGATGGGCTTGAGCGTAGTCTCGACTATCTCGGGGACATTATCCAAAAGTCTGGGCCGGTGCACGCGATCTGGGGATTCAGTCAAGGGGCATGTTTTTCCGGCATGTTGATGGCTCTGCTCTCGCCCCAGCAGAAGAATCATCCGCTGAGGAAGCGGTTACCGAAGAGTCAAGGTATACCTAGTGCCGGCATTTTCTTCTCGGGCTTCAAATCCAGATTTGCTGAGCATGAAAGTGCGTATGAGAAAGGGATTGAGGTGCCGACTTTGCATGTCGTTGGAGAGAGAGATACAGCTGTCACGCCTGAGAAAAGCAAGACACTGGCGAGGATCTGCAAGGATGCGAAGGTGTTGACGCATGCTGGTGCGCATGATATCCCAAGCTCGGAAGAGGATCGGGAGACAGTTGTTCGGTTCATGCGTGAGAACGTTCGAGCTGCCAAGTCAGATGGCCGGGAAAACTTATAGTATAGAAGCTGTATTCTGGAGAGATATAAGATTACGATATCGATGTTTTGAGTCCTGACCGATCATAAGATACTGAGTTGAGGAGACATGATGTAAGATGAACGGATTTCTTATCTCCAAAGGGCAGTCTGCCAGCTTGTCTAGCTAGCACTCGGAAGTCAACAAACCTGTCAACAAACCTGTCAACAAACCCGGACTTCTGACCAAGTGCAGACTCCATTGGCAGCGCGGCGAAGAAAGGAGTACGCGGAAAGAGACGGTCCAGAGGAGATAGAGGGATGGACCATTGGAGTTCCAAGAAAGAATATCAATCTAACGAATATGCGAGTGGCAAAGGAGACGACAAGATCTGAATGAAGGACGATAAAGTACCGAGAGACATTTGACGTTGACGAAAGAACAACAAAAAAGAGCACGTGCCAGGAGCCACGCCGCATGTTACCTTTGAAAGCACACGTGAGTCCCTCAGCCACTTTGTGGCTGGCACCAGCCTATTTCTACCTGGGTCCCCGGTCAGCAAAAACATGGCGACCCCTCCAAGGCAAGATTTCGACCGATGCCTGGCAACAAGCAGAGCCAGACCCAGATCTCCACACTCCTCACCTCTTCTTCCTACCTTACGCCGCACAACTATTTGTAAACTCCCGAATATCTAGAGAAGAGGATCTTCCGTGCCAGAAAATCAGACCCATCTCCTTTCCTTCTACTGCGTCCGCCAAATTAGAATCATGTTTGTTCTCAGGAATGGTAAGTCTAAGTCCATCCATCACCACCTCAATCCCTCCGAGCGCGCCCAGAAAGTGCAGCCACGACTGCGTTCACTTCACACACACGAGTGCTGATTCCTTCCGCAGTGGGGAAGTTGATCTTCGGTGACACTTCGAAGGAATCTCTGATCGAACTACCTCAAGGACAGCTTTATCTCGTCCGCCCACTCTCTCCGAAGGGCTATTCTGAGCTCATCTTCAAGGACGCCGCGGCGAGAATCCGACGCACCAACCAGGAATTTCAGTACCAGCTGGTGGTCCAGCGCGCATACGAGGAAGGTGAGGAGGAGCTTGGAGACGACGAGGACGCGGAGGAAACCGAGATCGCAGCTCTCGGTGCCGAGCGAGACGAGAAGACCTTTCTGCTTGACGAAGGGCTACATTTCAGATCTGAGATCCGAGAGGGTGGGGAAAAGGTTCTAGCTTGGCGAGACTTGAGTGGCGACGCCGGTGACCTCTACGAATTTGTTTGTGACCGCTCGATTGGCACCCACGAAGTCGAGACTTTCGAGATCACTGCCGCCAAGTGTCAATACGAGCGAAAGCATAGAAAGAGCCATAATACTGCGACAGTCGAGGATCTTGCGGCGTTCACTTTTGAGAGCGAGGAGCCTATCCCGAGCGCGAGCCCCCCACACAGCTCTCCAGTCAACACGATGCCACCACCTCCGAGAAACACTGCCAACTCGGCGCTGAAGCGGGAGGAGCGGGAAAGCACTCCCTCGAAGTCCTCTCGACAGGTCGCACTCAAGGAGGAAGGTCCCACGGCTGCACCAGCCGTCGCTGATCACCCAGAGGCGCTGTCGATTCTGGCGGAAGAACCAGCCGAACTCCATTTGTTCGACTTTGTATCCGGTGCATTCATTCTGCAGGATCCAAAAGTCAAGGCTACAGTATCAGAGGTCGGTAAGTGGAGATACTGGCTCCAAATCGAGAGCGACGACAGAGACTGGCTCGGGCAGGAAGTGATTGCGGATATTAACCCAGTTTTCAATTTCGATTACCTTTCCTTCATTTTCAACGCCTATACCCCGACTGGTGATGCCTACTCATGGCTGCTAAGATTTAAGGATCAGGAGATGGAGACGAGGTTCCAAGAGGGTTTGATGCAAGCCTTGTGGGAACAATTGAACGAGATAAAATGGAACAAAAGCAAGGATGAGGAGCGTGACTACGTCCTTGAAGCTTTCCAAGATCTTGCTATGGACGATGTCCCCGAAGAGGAGGACGAAGAGGACGAAGAGGAGGAAGAGGAGCCCGAAGCTGAAGATGATGGCCAGCAAAGCGAGCACTACGACAGCGATGAAGAGGACGACGACGTGGTCACTAGAGACGATGACGGGAATGTCAACTCGCAGCTGGCAGTGGGCTACAAGCACGATCGGTCGTTTGTGGTTCGTGGATCCAAGATTGGTGTATTCAAGCATACCCCAAATAACAATCTTGAGTTCTCCACGAACATTTCAAAGGTCGAGACACCAAATGGAAAGCTCTTCAGTCCTAAGAAGGTCATGCTTCACGCCGAGGATACAAACATGATTCTTCAAAATGAGGGCGACCCCAACTCGCTCTACCGAATGGACCTAGAGTACGGCAAGATCGTTGACGAATGGAAGATTCACGATGATATTCCAGTCAATACATTTGCTCCCGAGAACAAGTTTGCTCAGATGACTGGCGAGCAGACTTTCCTCGGTCTGTCACGAAACGCGCTCTACCGGATCGATCCTCGTCTTGCCGGCAACAAGCTTGTCGACACAGAGCTCAAGCAATACGTCTCGAAGAACGAATTTTCTGCTGCCGCTACTACCGAGAAGGGCTACATTGCCGTTGCCAGTAACAAGGGTGATATTCGCATGTTTGACCGTCTCGGCATCAATGCCAAGACGCACATTCCTGCTCTCGGAGAACCCATCATCGGCCTGGATGTCAGCGCTGATGGTCGGTGGGTCTTGGCTACTTGCCGCACATACCTTCTGCTCATTGATGCCATGCAGAAGGAGGGCAAGAACGAAGGCAAGCTTGGATTCGAGAAGTCCTTTGGCAAGGATTCGAAGCCGCAACCTCGTCGTCTGGGTCTCACCCCATCCCACGTTGCACAATTCCAGCACGAGACTGGAGCAGCTCTCTCCTTCACGCCGGCAAAGTTCAACGCGGGAGAAGGCTTGTCGGAGACATCAATCATCACTGCTACCGGCCCATTCATTGTCACTTGGAACTTGAAGAAAGTGCTGCGCGGCAGCAAGGACCCGTACAGCATCAAGCGATACGCCGAAGAGGTCAAGGCAGACAACTTCAAATACGGCAGTGACAAGAACGTCATCGTCGCCTTGCCCAACGAAGTCAATATGGTGGCCAAGCAGTCCTTCAAGAAGCCTACCAGAGAAAGTATTGCGACTCCTGTTCGCATTGGTGGTGGTAGTTTTGGCGGTCGACGAAGTGAGGGAGGTCGCCTCAGCACGAGAGACAGTGGGAGATATAAGCTCGGCAAGGACGATGTGGTCGACTCTCCTTATTAATATGGGGGCTTCTTTTCTTGTGATGATTTTACCACAGGGGGGATAAGGAGAGGAGGGGGAGGTGGCGGGCGTTTTGGGATTTCCGTTTGGGTGGCGTGGCGGGATTTTTGCTTCGGCTCGGAGCTCTTGCAGTGCAGCTGGACTCGACAGCTTCGAAGCACTTCCATATATTTAGGCGAAATACCAATCAATACCCACACTTTCTCTTCTACTCCTGGTGGGTGTGGTGTTTTGTGGTGTGGTGATGGTGGTGTCGCACGATCACGGTCACGGGATCATCTAACCACGATGCCAAGTCTGGTGCAGGTACCAAGCAATGCCCAGGAGCACTACGGACTTGGCAATATCAGACTTGGGAACTGCTTACATCTTGATTGATATCGTGTATCGTTATCGTTTTGACCATCACTGACCATGTCCTACAACAGTTGCTTGCGCGTTGTCTGTCTAACTTCGGCGTTTGCATCCCGGTTTTTTCTTCTTCCTCTTAGAATGCGTGTAATTTCCTGCTTTCCTGTTTCGCACCGCAGTGACGTATGCAGTTCGGTTTGCCACCATATATATCATTCTAGAGTTCGAGTGAATATCATCTCTAAACAGGGGGCTGCCTCGCCATTCTGCAATTCTCACCTCTGCTCGTCAATATTCACTACTGGCTATTCTTCGGGTGAAAATTTCGTTTTCCATTCTTGATAAGGACGTCGGCGTCATTCTATTTCCTTCCGCCTCGACCACCTGCTTCTTTCCTTCAACAAGCCGACAACCACAACATCAACAGTAACAACATCAGCAGTAACAACCCCAACAATCAAAAAACCTTCTAGATCATCAAGGAAGCAAACAAACATGAACTTCTTCAAGCGCCGTCAACGCGACCCCGCTGAGGGAGGCAATACGAGCACGACGACGGCGTCTGCTGCGGTTGCTACCAGCGAGAAGACAAGAGGTCCCGTGGTCATGAGCATGAGCAAGCGGCCGACGTTTGGACAATGGTTGAAGGTCACTTGGCTGGATATCTTTACAATGGCTGCTATGGGCATGATTGGTCTTGGTGTATGTTTCCTTTCAAATTTCCCGCGGGATCGAAGGGGGGGATGTTCGCTAATGAAAGAAATACATAGGTCTATACTGCCCACCCGGCGCCGTCGAGATCGTTCCCCGTGGTCTTCCAGGATGGTGAGATTGTTTACCCGCAGTTTGCGTATCCCTTGCGAAAGGAGATCGTGCCAATTTGGGCTGCTGCTCTACTTGCTGTACGTATCCATATCCCTTTCGGCCTGTGGTTTCCTAGGCTATTCCTGTAATACCTATGTGTACGAGAGCCCTATCAACTAACTGTACCACTCAAGGCCTTGGTCCCCATCTTCTTCTTCCTGGTCATGCAAATCCGCATTCGATCTTTCTGGGATGTCAACAATGCCACCATCGGTCTCCTCTACTCACTGATCACTGCTGCCGTCTTCCAAGTCTTCCTCAAGTGGTACGCATACCCCTTCTGCCACTACTACTATACATACCCTTCCCACCACGCTGAATGAAATATGTTGCTGACTCTCACAGGTTGATCGGTGGTCTCCGTCCCCACTTCCTCGCAGTCTGCAAGCCCAACATCACCCTCGTCGACCAAGAAACCGGCAATGGATTCCGCCAGATCATGTACGACCGCACCATCTGCACAGGCGATGAATCCGAAATCGACGACTCCCTGGAATCCTTCCCCTCCGGTCACTCCACCGCCGCCTTCGCCGGTTTCGTCTTCCTCTACCTGTACCTCAACGCCAAACTCAAGGTCTGGTCCAACTACCACCCCGCCATGTGGAAGCTCATCGCCACCTACGCTCCCATCCTCGGCGCTACCTTGATTGCAGGCGCGCTGACAATTGATGAGTATCACAACTGGTACGACTGCGTTGCGGGTGCGATTATCGGCACGGTCATGGCTTTCAGCGCGTATAGGATGGTGTATGCGAGCATCTGGGACTGGCGCACCAACCACATCCCACTCAACCGCGCTGTCCCCTTCCCAGGAGCTGGTACGGGCAAAGTTGATCTGGAGCATGCTATGTTCACGCGTCAGGCAGGCTGGGGATACGCTGATGACATGCACGGCGGTATGCAGCAATCATATGATGGGCACGTCATGGGCCACGGCAACGGTGCTGACATGGTCTCTTCTCCTCCTCTCGCTCGCACTAAAAGCGGCCTGGAGCGTAAGCCGGTTCCTGCTCCCGCGGGCCATCCCGTTCCTGGGCCGGAGAACATGGTCTAGCTGCTTATTCCGAGCTATCCTTTGATTTTGCTTTCGCTTTTACCTTTGAGAATCAGTGAAATTTGCGTGCGCGGGATTGGAATTTGCCACGATGGGGAAATTCAATGATCTCTGTGTTGCATAGGCATAGGCATGGGAATCGGTATGCGGATGATGGATAATGGGCGGATTGCTTTCATTTCAGTGAGGATAAACTGGCGTAACGGAGTCTAGCCATACCCTTGGTATCGGTAGTCAACGAATACACAAAAGCTTTGTCTTCACTCACTTACTCACCCACTTATTCACTCACTCACTCACTCACTCACTCGCTTATCATCATCATCATCTTTGAACCCGTTACTGTGCTTTGTTTTCGTGATATGCCTACCTAGATACGTACTCTCTGGTTTAGCTTATACGTTGCCTATTTGGGAAAGACAAAGACAGATACCCACTGTCGAAGGACGGAGACATAGCATGATCTATGCGCGAATTATTCAAGCATCCCCTCATCCCCCCCCTCTCTCTTCCTTCTTCCGCCTTCTTCTTCCTTCATTGTTAAGGGGGAAAGAAAGAAAAGGGAAGGAGAGAATATTAGCTACCTCATCGCCCTCGCCAGCATTCCAGTTTCTCCTCCCCTCTCCTCTCCTCCCCTCACCTCACCTCCCCTCTCTTCTCTTCTATTCACTCCCCCACGCCTCTCTCTCTTCTCTTTCTATAAATCCCGCCAGCTACCCATTTCCATTCATTTCATTTCATTTCCATCTTCACCACCTTTTCAAGCTACAGACAGTTACCCTAGAAAAGATGACTGAATGACTGAATGAATGAACGAGGCAGGGAGGCAGGGCAACTAACTAACTCCCCAACAACGCCAACGCCAACGCCAACGCCATAGCTAGCTTGCCTGTCCCTGCTAAGGAGACCTTTGACGAACCATATGACGGACTAGGATATAGCATATATACACTGTGGAATACTTTTCAAGCCCTCTTATCTTTTCTCGAGAAAAGGGATTGCATTGCATTGGATTGTGGCATGATAACCCCACACAGCCGGAGACAGGTAACTCCAACTCCACCCCCCCCCCCACACCCACCCAATATTTCATGAAGAATAATTTGGTCAGGTTTGCATGCATGCATGCAACATTATCATCAACTAATTGATATCAATTATTATATCAATACTATTAGGAGCTACGAAACCCTCCTCGCTACGAAAGCAACACCCGAATCTCCCCACTGGTCCTCGGAAACAAGACTCGGAGCGGCTCTCCCTCGCCTTCCAGATCCTCCTCCCAAAGCTCATCAGCCCGGCTCATCATCTCTTCCACCTTCTCGAAATCATCGCAGAACCTCTCGGCTGCCTTTTCGGTGATCTCTGTTACTAAGACGCTACTCTGCAGCATCTTCAGATTCTCCGTCGCGTCCATAAGCGCCGAGGGCAGGAAGTCGTCCAAAATTTGACTCGCTTGGGTCAAATTGGGTGCGTGAAAGGGTGGAAGGGTACGGAGAGATTCCAGGTCGGTTTTAGAGGTAGGAGAGAGCGGTTCGATGGCGGATATGAGGGCTGAAAGGGCGGAGGAGGTGAGGAGGAAGTTGTATTGGTAGACTACAAGTGTTGCGCTGTGCTCTTGGATTTTTGCCTCGATCTCGGCGACTTGGGACGTGGTGAAGTCGAAGGGGGCGAGGATGTTGCGGGCTAGGAGGAGGCAGTTTATATAGAAGGTGGCGCCTGACGGGGCTGGGAGTGAGTTCGCTATTCTCTCGGCTGCGCTCATGAATGGTGTGAAAGCTTCGGTGAGAATAGGGCGAAAGTCTGCTTCTCGGCTGTCGGGCGAGGTGAAGGATGCCTCGTAGGTTTTCATTATGGCAGTCAATTGCTTAAGACCTTCTTGGAGGAAGTCTGGTGGGTGAAGGTTTGATGGGGCTATTTGGACTTCGCTTTGAAGACTGGCGACGTGATCGCGCATTAGGATACGGAATTGCTTCAGAGCGGACTCTTCGAGTGTGACCAGCGACTCCAGGAGGATAGAGTCTCCGCCGAGAAGTTTGGAGAACGTGACTCGGTAGAAATTGAGTAAATTGGCGATTTTATAGGCAGTGATGGTTTCTTCGTGGCTTTGGATTACTTGGCCAACTCGTTGGCGGAGGACTCGTGCCACACCAGTGACGTCCCGATCGACCAAGCCGTTCAAGGCCTTAAGGCCGTCGAATGAGCTGTCTCCTTCTTCTTCTTCTTCTTCGGTGTACTTGGTCCAAGGCTCGCTGTCTCGACCTGCCTGAATACCTTTGGCGATTTCATCGCCGTCTGAGATGAAGAGAACCTCTAACGCTTCTCTTTCGCTGACAGTAGCGGAATGCGTCCATGCTAGCATGTCTCCGACGTAGCGGAGAGGGTCGTGAGCAGCAAGCTCGATAGGTTTTACGGATGAATCCGGCTCGCCGTTCACGGATGAGCCGGTCAATGCCGTATAAAAAGAGTCCGAGAGAATGTTCTCCCGAGCTTCAGCAAAAAAGTCGAGGCAATTCTGGAACAAGGATGGTCGCTCCGCTAGCACCCTCAAAGCCCTCCGTATCGACGAGCTGATTTGAGGATTTTCCAAGTTGAGAGACTTGAACTCTCGTTGAATCCATCTATACAGCTTTTGAAAAGCACCATTCATGTTTTTGGAAACTTGTTCCATAATCTCGAGGCCCAATCGTTGGTTTTCTGTACCAAGTAGGATCTCACAGTCGTTTTGAATCTTTTTCGCCCTTGCCAGATTATAGAAGAACTTGTCGTTGACAGGCTCAGCGCTAGATGTGAGCGTGGCAACATCATCATCAGACATGATAAAATGTGTATTGAAAGCTTTCAGGAGCTCTTGCTTCGACTCGACTTGTGCTTTCTGCTTCATAAGCTCGGAAGCTTCTTCAAGTACAGGGGCGGTCTCTTGATGAGCTGCTGATATGTGACGCTTCATCTCCTCACATCCCTGATTGAGACTTGCTATCGTAAGACCAATGCGCTTGAGTTGCTTGTTTAATTGTCAATGAGCAGCACATCAACCTTCCTGGGGAGCAATGTACCTCGGCCACGTGACTAAATTCCTTGATAATGTCGCCATTGCTCTCGATAACCTCCTTTTGTACATCGAGTCTGAGCTGACGGCGAGTCTCCGCATTATTTTCAACATTGCGTTTGTCCAACAGAGCAAGAGCGTCTCTGATATCCGTATCCGCGTACGATGCCGAAAGGACAGAAGTGACTTTTGATGCTAGAGGATTACTTCGTTGTTGGACGGCCGCGGGGGAAGTAGGCTCAAGCCCGTCAGTCGGACCTGAATGTTTCCGATTCAGAGAATAGTCGGCGGCCATGTTGAATGCAATGCAACCAAATCATTTGATGCTATTCCGACGGAGTGCCACTCGCCAATTCCTAGCCTCTCAATCGCATATCAGAGACTAAGGCCAAAAGCGTCCTAAGGCGAGGCTGAGAGATCGGCTCGGCTCGGCAAAGTGTTTAGCAGGGAAGGCAATCATTCGTCCTGACTTATGACCTGCCCAGATGACTCTCGAGATCACCACAACAACAAGGCATAAAAAAGTCAACTTCCTGTACATTTGAATAGATTCATTACCCGGATTCAAATGCACATTTACTTGCTATCTGCTCGCGTGGTTGTCCACGACGACGTCGACTCTTGGCTACCTATCGCAGTTGACGCCCAGCACTTCTCCCCCTCCCGAACCTGCTCAAAGGGAAGGAATAGACCTTGAACGCTAAACTCCTCACAACTTTCGCCAGGAATATGATGACCTCGAATCTGCTCTCACGACTCCTGCCAACGAATACTACCGGTCGGTCTATCTACGACGATCTGCGGGCCCATGATGAGGAGTCCGACTTGGAGGAGCAGGCGGGGTTGGCTCTCGACGAAGAGAATCTTCGATTTCTCGATGACGAGCTGGGAAATGTAGATGCCTTTGGGGAAGCAAGTCATATTACCACTGCATCCACTGCATTCCCTCCTGGGCAACCACAAACGAGACCACATGGAGGCGGCAAGATCTCAAGAGACAAGTCACAAAACAGATGGATGGCACAATCACCCAGACTGTTGGAGGAAGATGGAGACGACGATGTTCCTGCTTCTTTGTTGATCGAAGGCCACGACCTTCCACCGAAACATACCCCAACAAAACCCCGGCCAAGGCAAGGAAAGGCTCCAAAGAGCAGTCCTGCTGTGCCGGGACCGTCGAATAGAGAGACTCGTGCTCATTGGGAGGCTGCGCAGGCACAGCAACGATTACATAGAGAGGAAGATATTTCTCCTGGATTACGAGTGCCCCCTCGGTCCCGTTTCGGACTTCTTAGTGGGGAGGAGAAGGCCTTGTGGAGATGGTCCAATGTCACTAATCTCGATGTTTTTATAGAGGACGTTTATGGATACTACGTTGGAGCAGGAATCTGGTGTATACTGCTTGAGAAGGCTTTGAACTTGGCGTAAGCTTCGCCGGGACATGGATCTATGGAATGACTAACAAAAAGTAGTCAAATTACCTTTGTTGCGGTCTTCACAACATTCCTGACCCAGTGTATCGAGTACTCGGCGGTACCACATAGCAAGAAATTGACTCAGGTACTGGTACCACAGTGCACCAAGAAAATTTCAGGGATGCCCAATGTAGCAATTTGGTTGTTCACGTTGCACATTCTATGGAGGGTCTATCTGCTTCTAGCCGATATTCCCCGCCTAATGCACATGCGAGACTTTTTCGTCCACCTCCTCAAAGTTCCCGATGGAGACATGCAGACCATCTCATGGCAAGACGTCGTGGCGCGGCTTATGGCCTTGAGGGATGCGAGTCCTGTCCTAACCGAGAAAATATCTCCCAAGGCTCGGAAGTATTTGGGAAGTCAATCTAAGCAGAGATTAGATGCGCACGATATTGCGAATCGGCTCATGCGAAAGGAGAACTACCTGATTGCCATGTTCAACAAGGACATCCTGGACTTGACACTACCATTCCCCTTTTTACAAGGTCGACAGCTTTTCTCAAGGGCCTTATTATGGAATTTGGATTGGTGTGTCATGGGGCTTGTGTTCAATGATGCCGGTCAAGTCCGGCAATTGGTATTGAAGGACGCCAAACGACGAGAGTTGAGTGACGCTCTGCGTGGGCGATTTCTTTTCGCTGGGTTCATGAACGTCCTGTTCGCACCAGTAATTGTGATCTATCTCATGATCGTGTACTTCCTGAAGTATTTTAATGTAAGAATGCCCGTGGTGGCACCTCATAAAAATATGCTGACCGGTCCCAGGAATACAAGAAAGATCCGTCCGCTATAGGATCTCGCCAGTACACGCCCCTCGCCGAATGGAAATTCCGAGAGTTCAACGAATTGAACCACCTTTTCCACAAAAGAGTCAATATGTCGTACCCATTTGCATCCCGATACCTCGACCAATTCCCAAAGGTCAAAATGGTACAATTCGCCAGGTTCATGTCTTTTATCGCGGGAGCGATAGTATCTGTACTTGCTGTGGCCACTCTGTGGGATCCAGAGTCATTCCTCAGCTTCGACCTCACCTCGGAGAGGACTGTACTGTTCTACCTGACAGTCTTCGGTGGTATCTGGGCTACTATGAACGGCATGATCCCCGAAGAAAACCTCGTATTCGAGCCGGAGTATGCACTGAGACAAGTGATTGAGTACACCCATTACATGCCAACTCAGTGGCAGAACCGACTCCACAGCGATGAAGTGAAGAGAGAATTCGCAACACTCTACCAAATGAAGATTATGATCTTTGTTGAAGAGATTCTCAGCATCATTGTCACGCCTTTCATCCTCTGGTTTAGCTTGCCGAAATGCAGCGACCAGATCATCGATTTCTTCCGAGAGTTCACTATCCACGTTGATGGTGTCGGATATGTTTGCTCATTTGCCGTCTTCGACTTCAAGAAGGGTGATGGGAGAAAACCCTTGCATGGAGGCGGGAATTCCGACGTCAGAGACGAATATTACTCGACCAAGCACGGCAAGATGGCCATGTCTTATTATGGATTCCTGGACAATTACCTGCTCAACCCAAAGACTGCCGTCCAGGGCCATGTCCCCCCTGCAATACGTCATCACCACCGCCCACCGTCTTTCCCAGGACTCATGTCTCCGACACTGGCAGCTGAGATGCAGAACTCGCGTATCGGACGGAGCGAAAAACGACCGAGCAGTAGTCGAGTTCCGGGCGGTCTCCCACAATCTGCCCGCACTTCAAGATTCGCCTCGATAGCAGCTCAAGCCTCACCAATGCAATCTATCCTTCTCGATCCCCACCATCAGCCTTCTGGCTCAGGATTCGGCGGTAAAAGCATTAGACGCGGAAGCTCCCGATCTCGCTACCAAGTCCGGCAAAATATCGCCGAAGAGCCCATCCAAGACGAAGATGACGAAGCAGGCATTGTTCATGAGGGACTTGGCTCGGGCAAATCCTACGAAGGTCACCTTGGAGCATCGCGATGGGAAACTTCGCCGACTCGCACACCGGCTAATGAGCCACTGGACGATGAAGCGGAGCCACCGGGTGGAGGGGGCGTTTTGGGGCTGTTATACCAGTTTCAAAAGGCACAAACGGGTGGGCCGGGCGTTAATATTTGATGGTCCTGATTGATTAGGCCCGCTGGATCAGCTACGCATACTAGGGAGTTCTGGCGGCATTTAGCTGCGAGCGGGCGTATATAATATCAGTGACTATTTTGAGCCTGGAGTGATGGTATGGCAGGGCAACGGAGTTTCGGCGGCATTTCTAGAGTTAGTATTATGATGGAAGTATGTTAAGAAAACACTGTCACATCGAGTGGAAATTCAGCAAATTTTTCTACTAGCCAGCTTGGTTGACGTAAAGTCGCGCGTTGGGCGGAAATTTGTTGCTGGTAAGCTCTGGAAGGGAATAAACGCAACAGAACGCTGGGGTACGAAGTGCATGCCGCGTTGGTCTGGGTAAGGTGTACGGCACTGGCATCGTTCCAAGCGTGGCAACGTGAGTGGCAGACATTTTGCATCTCAAGGGCGTTAGCCCAAGTCTATGCCATCTGATGGAGATTATGTATTCGCTGGGAATCCTGTTTTTAAGACCCTGAAGGGCGAAAGAACAAAAAACATGTTGCAGGATCTCGACCTGTATTGTGCGAGAATATGGGAATACCGTTTAGAAATAAGTAGTTTGGAATGAAAAAGAGGTCAAGTATTGGATAAGAGCAGATTAAGACTGATTATTATGGTGCTCACCCGCCCGCCTCCCACGACCCTCCAAAAAGGGGTTTATTTTATTTTATTTTCGGCTAGGAAAAGAGAAAGTCGACACTACGAAGTAAAGTCTACCCCTTTCAGCAGTTCCATTAGTCATAAACAGTCACATGATACTTCGAATATAGCGGAGCGGATCATCTCTCGGCTCCGCTCAAATTCACGATCCATCGATCAACACCATCATTCAAGCGAGAGAAAGTCGCATTTCACTCACCATATCCCTCAACCTGCGACTAGCGAAAATGTCAACGCCGAAGGTCGTCGCCTCTGCGACCCGCCAGATCAACGGCGTCGTCGTATCCGCAGGCCTGATGCAGAAGACAGTCAAGGCGAGAGTCGGCGTGCAAAAGTGGAATAATGTTATCAAGAAGGTATTTATTCACCTACTACCTACTTACTCACCTAACTCCTTCCACCCCCCACCCCACCCCCCTCTCTACTCAAAACCCAGGAGGAATGGGTTGATGGATGGACAAGCCCAGCTAAAGAGAAACCGCCGCGCGCCCTCCCTAGAAATTCAACCACTCCGAGAACCTGCTCGTCCACGACCCGGCCTCCTCCCTGCGCGTCGGCGACGTCATCTCCATCTCGCCCGGCTGGCGGTACAGCAAGCGCGTGCACCATGTCGTGAACAGCATCGTTGCGCCCTTCGGCGACCCGATCGAGAGCCGGCCCGCCGTGCCGACGCTGGAGGAGAGGATCCGCGCCGTGGAGGCGAAGCGGGAGAAGAAGGCGGCGAGGAGGAGGGAGAAGCGCGAGCAGGCGAAGACTGGGGAGGGGCGGGCTGTTGCGTAAGGGAATAGGAAGGGGGAATGTTATGGGCAGGATGAGGACTGGGGAGGAGGGTGTGAGGTTGCCTGTGTGAAAGGAACAGGCGATGAGATTTGGCATAGCGAGGAGATGCTGGAAGGGAAAGAAGAAATACTGGTGGAGAGGTGCAAATATCCATGCAGCGTGGCGCGGCGTTCAGGTCCGATTTGGGATTGTATCAGTACATTGTACTCGGATGAAGGGTAGAAGCTTGTATTCCACAGCGTCTAATGTACAAACACACCCTGCGAAATAGGGGAAATTGTACTAACATAAGCACTGTTCCCGAGTTGAAAGATATCACTGCTCACAGTTACGCCTCACCATCTATCCTTTCCTCCATCCGCCTAACCAAAAGCAACGCTTGTCCCCAGACCATCTTCCAAACCACAATTCATTCAGACATAACATATTGTAACACCATGCAGAAAAATAGTTTACCTGACCTGCTCTTAACCACCTCGCTCGCCGAACTCCCTTGCCCAGTCCTCAAATTCTTTAAGGCCCTGTTTACTGACACTAGGTCGAATGTTGACCAGACTGGCTTCGAAGTCCTCGAACTGGATGGGCCGAATTTGGTCCATTGACATGTGGAGAAGAGCTTCGCCGAGTGAACGTAAAGGTCCCATGGCAGCGTCTTTAGCTAAGGCTGTAATGTCAGAGCCTGAGAAACCTGTGGAGTGTGTAAGTGCGGTGCAGGTGCAAGTGAGATCCTCGAGACATACCATCAGTCAATCCAACAAGCTTTTGGATATCATCTTCCTTCAAGCCATGTTTTTGGTGTCCTAGTAATGTTCGTAGCTGCGTTGCTCTCGTCTCATCCTCCGGTAATGGAATGTACTGTCGCCTGACGAATCTTCTCCTCGCTGCTTCATCGATAGCCCACGGAAGGTTAGTAGCAGCCAGCACAAGTACACGACTTGCATCGCCTCTTTCCTTCTCGCGCTCGCTCTGTTCTCGGCCTGCAGCTGCTCGTTGAAGATCACTCCACTGGATCAAGAACTCCGTCTTGATTCGTCTCGTGGCTTCATGCTCGCCCGATCCCGATCGTGCAGACAGCAAAGAGTCGATTTCGTCCACGAAAATAATGCTTGGCGCCAAAGCTTTCGCCAGCGAGAACAATGCCCGAACAAGCTTCTCTGACTCCCCCAGATACTTGCTTGTCAAACTACTCGCTGAAATCGAGAAAAATGTCGATTTTGACTCGGTTGCAACTGCTCTTGCCAGCATGGTCTTACCTGTTCCTGGCGGGCCAAATAGAAGCATACCACGAGCTGGCTCGCGGAGACCCATAAATAGATCTGGTCGAAGGAAAGGGTAGACGACAGCTTCCTTCAACGCCTTCTTGGCAATACTCAGACCAGCTACATCGTCCCAATGAACTTCGTCACCTTGAACCACGATTTCATTGAAAATTTGCTTTGCAGCTCCTTCGTCTACTCCTTTTGGTAGATTCTTCATGATTTGCTGCACTTTGATCTCCCAGGCGCTCTTCACCAGATCGGCTTGCGCTTCGGAATCGTCGGAGGTTGGAGTTATAGGGTCGGCGAGTATCCCACTCTCTTTTTGCTTCGGCTTCAGCTTCTTCTTGGGCTCGGACTTGACTGTGTCCTCATCGATGCTTTGAGACGAGGTATCGTCATCGATAGTCTGCTTACCATCTCTTCTCTGCAACCTTCTCGCAGCATCCTTTTCCTGAAATCGGTCACGATGCCGAGGTGAAGAAGTGTTTGCCGGGACTGGTTTTCTCGCCACTCTGCTAGAGGAAATATTCTCCTCTCCCTTCTGCTTGGCTGCGGCTGGCTTCCGTCTCAAGGGTAGCTCGGTGTCCGCGGCGCTTTTCCTAGCACTTGTTTCAGGATATTCTTTAAGATATGTAGGGTATGATGAAGGCTCAAGCTTAGACGAGCTCCTGGAACGGGTTGGTGGCGGGGGCGGGGTTTTCTTCGTTCTCGATAAGCCTGCGTCAACAAGGGTAGGGGAGGGAGGATCGAGATCTATCGAGTCCTTCAAACTTCCGGAAACAGCATCTGGCTGGCCAGGGTCAGTAGGTGGGAAGGGATACGCATTCGATCGACCTGAAGAGCCATGAATCTCGCCCTTTCCACACAGCGAATCAGGTGGACTTGAGCCTCGGGGATGGCCTGGATGAGAGTGTGTGTCTGGGACCAGAGTCCGCGTCTTGCTGTCGTAGCGAACGTTCTTCACAGGCATAGATTCGCTAGCACTATCCTTACGCCCAGCTTCTGAGAGTGTCGTTGAGCTCTTATCAGCTTCATTCTCCAAGCTGCGTCCAAGCCGGTCTTTCCCCAGTGATTGCCACGCCAATGAAGCAGCCTGATTGGTGACAGCGCTGTCTTTCCTGGATGTAGAGGTCCTCGGAGACCTGTAGCTGGGTTTGCGACCAGCTCTGTCCCCTGATCGTAGAGTATGAAGCATAGTTCTTTGTTTTTCGGGACTTGGACTTCTAGATGTCTGTTTCATCGGGTGTGCAAAAGTAGACGAGAACGATGGCGTAATGGACCTCGACGAAGAGGATGACGCCAGGTTCGATGATAATGACCTTGACGGCCCATATGAAGGCCTACTTCCAACCACAGCACGCTCCGAGCTGTTCTTCGCTATCCCCGCAGGTCGTTGTGGTAGCGAAGGGAGTGCTGGTCGCGAGAGATCTAGATAGTTCGCAGCAGGAACGGTGCCATTCCCAATGAACCCCTTCTCGCCGTTATCCACGTCGGAGCCTTGTCTCGATATCTTGGACAAGGTCTTGGGCGCTTTTCCATTTGTCGCCTCGGTCTCACCTTCGGCCTTTTCCTCTCGTGATTGCTTCAAGGCCTCCAGCAGGTCCACCCGTTCCTTGCACTGCATCTCCATATCCCGCAGACTATCCTTCAGCGCTTTCTCCGTCTCTGATCGTGGTATGTAGCCTGCTGGAACGCGGTAGGCATTGTGGTAGTATATTTGGTCCAGGGCTGATCGCCATGATCGTAATGCTTCTACTTCATTGCCCTGTATTACCCCTCCGTCAGCGTTGTGTCCTTGGACAAAAAAAATACTCCATCCGCATCCTCCCAAGCAAGTCCCCAACTGCCCAACGGGATATGGACGAGGATATATATCATACCAGTCCCTCGAAATACACGGCAGTGGAGCAGATCAGATAGCACTCATCGTACGTCTTCTGCAGCGACGATGAGGTTTTGTTTCGCATCATGGCGGCACTTTTGGAAAAGCTCCCTTTGTCGGATCATGAATATTGCTCGGTGTAGATGTTATCGATTTTTGAGTCCTCTGCCGTGTGGTTTCGAGATCATGTACCTGCTGGGAGGTCCTGGTTCTGGATTGCAGGTTTGATTGGTGTTGTTGACAAGACGAGTTTGAGTGTGTGTTGGGCCGGCAGTGACGTCGTTTTGGATCTCGACTCTCTAACCCAGCCCCACCAGTGAATCCTTATTTCAGTGAAAATATGGGGTCTCTCGAGGGTCTATAGATCTGATTTTCATTCTCGTCTTTAATTCATTATTCAAACAGATTTTTATCTTTCAACACTGCTCAATCTTGATAATTTCTCTTCCAGAGTCGATATGAGGGTGCCGAGCCAGTATCAGAGGAGAGGGACTGTACCTTATGACTGCACCTCGTGGCGACAACGACTAAACAGAGCAACTCTCACGCTGCAGCCCAGCGTCAGACGTTCGCTGCGATGCGTAGTCATACTACGCGGACACAGGCTGTGTTTTGCTTGTCTCTTGAGACTCAATATTCATGTGCAGTACTGTCAAGTGATTAAATGACCCCTCAGGTCAGATACTGTGGGAATGAAGGGATCGGAGTTAAGGACTCGATCGGGGATAAGGGTGGCCCGTGCTTGGCACGTGCACCTTTGCTATAGCAACCACATAGTAGCCCGTGCACCCATGCACCTAACTACATGTAACTGTACCTCGCAGCTAGAATAGCTTCCTCCCCCAAAGACTTAACAACACCACGAATGCAACCACTTGCCATTCGTACCGAGTCTCACGTGTGCACCCTATTGTGTAACCAACACTGATCAGTGGTTAAATTCACATTTAACCATAGATGAGCTAAGTACAGAAAAGAAAAGGTAGTTTTTGCCTCTCTAAAGGTATTAACTACGCTATAAGCAACCGTTAGTTCTTAACAAGTCTAGCGGAAACCCAATACAATTAGCAGTACTATCACTAGTTGTAGCGTCCATCACGCAACTACTACCGCTAATATAGCGGATGATAGAAACAGAAATCCCCCCCCTCACGAATTCGAAGACCCCCCCCCTTCCCCTCTTTTAGAGAAATCCGTTCGACCTCTAGCAGGTAGCTTCGAGGAACTCGAATGGACTCTCCGAGGCAAATTCAAAGTCGACCGAAAAGTATAAGAAGCTAATAATTTCGACCCTACTGATAAGACCAAATAGACCTAAGGTTGCGTTCACTCGTATATCATCCGAGCCCTCGATATATTTAAGGATGATTATCGCTACGCTATAAGTGACAATTTGTAAGAGACATACTAGAGCTTTTTTAAAAGATAGATTGAACTATTGTTCAAGCTAAGTCACATCACAATCTTAAGATACTTATACAATCACCTTTTCGTCTACTACGTGTAGATAAAAGATCTAAGAAGTAGTGTAAGCTATGCTTCAGCCCTTGCTAAACTACTTCACAGATCGATATTTCTCGTATTTCCACCTCACGAAGAAGCAAGACGAGAAAAGCGACTTAGTTTAATAACATACAGACCTGCCGTCAAACCTCCACCTTCACCTTTACCATCTCTTACACCTCTCACACCGATATAACTTACACGACCACCCCTCCTACCGATACACCCTCAACTGTATCGACCCCTACCCTTACCCCCGAATGATATACAATTCGATATACTATTCAATAAGCAACCTTATCAACAGCAAAGACAATAAGAGTTCACCCTTGACCTTCGATTGCCTCGTGACCCTCGACTACCCTTTGACCCTCGACTACAACCTTTACTACCGATTCATCCGACTCGACCCTTACCCAACCCATTGGTTTATCGATAACCTTACGTACCACTCATCTTCGAACACCGCGAACTTTAAGGACGAAAAGCAAATAGAGGAGGTGGAGGCGGAGGTGATGATAGTAGAAGCAACTATACGGAAGACTCTTACCGTAAAGATAACTACAAAAGAGGTAGAAGAGGCGGTGGAAGAGAAGGTAGAGGAAGAAGTAAAAGAAGAGGTGGAAGAGGAGGTGGTAGAAAAAGCGGAGGTAGCAATAAAAGAGACCTTGACTAATCAGCTAGAAGAGGCTAGAGACTAAACCCAGCGCAGCTGATTGGCGGACTCAGTAAGATGTATAGACATAAGAAAGAGCTCAAATATAATAAAGGAATGTAAGATATACTCTTCGTAAAGCTAAAGAAGTTCTATAGCTTGTGCGAAACATGCGATATCCTTCTTGCCTTATACGTTAAAGCTTTCCTTGTTATGCTTACTAGAGCAGCAAACGCTTACTATATCGATCAAATAGCTAATAGAAGCTACTCTTTCGAAGCTATGACACACCTTATAGCCTAACACTTCGAAACCGATGAGAACCGAAAGCACTACATAAGCTTGTAAAGAACTACTACATTCGCTAGTATCATTGCAGATAAAGAGAACATCGAGAAGACTCGACTAAAGTGCTTAAAGATTACGATAAAGCTTTTAAAAAGCTGTTAGCAAAGCCTTACACTCGAATACTAGACCGATAACGTATTGCGCGATCAACTTATTAGCGCTTGCAATAGAGTCGAGGAATGCAGACTAGCAATATTCAACCCAGCTAATACATACGAAAGAGTTGCTGTTCAATTACAATTAGCAATCGATATTATTCAAAAAGAGCGCCAAATACTCGAATACACAGCTCCTCCTACTATGTACTATGCTTCTAACGACCATAATTGCGATACTAATTGCAATTACGAGACCTATTACACCGATCGAAACTATAAAAGATCAGGTGAGAGCTATAACCGTAGCTTAAAAGGCTATAATCGCGGTAATAAAGGCAGAGATAAGAACAGAGGTTTTGCACGTAAAAGAAGGAATAAAGGCTTCCGCAAAGGTAGAAAGCCTAAAGTATGCTTCATCTGCGGCAAACCCGACTGCTAGTCTATAAAACACTCCTCCGAAGAACGAAAACGCTTTTACGACGAGTATAAGAAAAGCGCTACGTACCACACCACTCAACCAGTGACCTTAGTTTATTTTGCAAGCTTCTTAGCGGACTACGAAAGAGTAAAAGGTATTGCAGACGAAGAAAATCACCAAGATTAAGCAACATACGCTACTGAAAATTATTAGTACGACGAATACGATCACGGTGACCGCAATTACTTCACTCAAACCTTTCTTACCGAAGCTAAAGAAGTGATAAGCGCCGAGACTATTGCAATTTTGCAAAAACGCTCAGCTTACTACGCTTTCATCACCTTAGACGCTATGAACTTTTCAATTGAAGAAGATAAGACCGTTCCACTAAAGACTTACATTTCACACTCCCGGTATTCAGCTTACCGATTCCAAAGCTTCTTTCTCGATTCGGGAGCTGCAAGTAAGTCTTTTGTAAGAAAAGCATAAGTAAGAGCTCTTTAACACCACTTGCTTGAATTACAAGTGATTATTACTCAAGGAAGTACTATCAGCTTCGGCGAGACCCCGGCTATTATCAAAAGAACCGTAGAAGTATAAACACCAATTAGCAAGATTGTTTTTCATATAGTCAATATTAACACCCTTTTCTTAATTTGTTTGAAAGACATAGATTCTCTTAGCGTGTATTTTGACAATCTAAAAAACCTGCTTATGCAAGGCCATAATAGCGTGCCAGTTGTTAGAAAATAAGGCTACCCATTCTTACTGCTTAGTCAGCAAGAAACTATTATATGCTACCTTACCGAAAGAGAATTGCGTCAAATTTATCGCCGCTAAAGACACCTCTTAGTATAGCGTTTTGCTACCACCCTTAAGGCTGCCGGTGAAGAGTTTGAAACCGACATCTTCGAGAAGATTATCAAATACTATGCGCAGTATCAATTACATAAACAAGCCTTTCGCAGATTTAAAATCTCTTTAAAAGATGAGTATGAATTCAATTATTCGATTATTATTGATATTATATATATTGACAAGGACCTCGTATTACATATCGTGGATTCAGCTATAAGCTACGGTTCTAAAGGATTCCTTAAGAATATAACTGCAAAACACGTGTAAGATACAGTACGTTACTATTGGATCGATACATACTTAAGCCCTTTAAATGTAATCGTAATAGACGCTAGAACTAACTTGAGCTCTTAAGAGTTCAAACAATAAGCAAATTCGATGAATACTAAGATCAAGGTAGTCTTAGTCGAAGCTTATAATAGCGTCGGAAAAGTAGAACGCTATTATGGCCCTCTCCGAAGAATATACAATATTCTAAAAGAAGAACTAGCAGGTAAAAGAGTTGACAAGCACATAGTACTTTAAATAGCTTTCAAAGCTATTAACGATACAGCCGGCCCCGGAGGTATTGTCCTTACATTACTCGTATACGGCGCATACCCACGCCTTTCTAAGACAGATTCTTTAGCACTATCTATAACAAAGAGACGAGAAGCCTTTCGAGCTGCAATCAAAGAGATTCGTCGACTACAAGCTGAAAGAAAAGTCAAGGACGCCTTAGCAATGCGAAATGGACTAAATACCTTAGAAACCTTCAACCTCTCCTTGCAATCAAACGTCAGAGTTTATAAAGAAGTAAAAGGTAAACCAAGCAAAAGCGAATGGACCGGACCGCACAAGCTAATTGCACGTGAAAACGAGACTTGCAAAGTACTCGTAAACGACCGAATTAGCGAATTCCGTTCAGTAATTGTCAAACCGTATTATAAAACACCTTCAGATACGCTAAACCTCGAAGAATCCTTGCCACCGAACCGGTCAACTAAAGCTAAACTACTACCGGTCCAGTTTACAAGACAACTTACTACTTTAGCTATTAAGATTGGATCACGCTCGCGCAAACCGAAAGGCAATTTAGCAGTTCGCTACAGCCCTCGTCACCTTTTTGCAAGTATAAAAGAGTTCAAAGATTTTGACGAGCAATTTCTTAATTACGAGAGTGATGTTATTATAGTATTCCTTACTCATAAAGAAAAGGCTGATATTGCGCTCTTTACGAAGCTCAGAAACGAAGGAGTTATTACTACGCCCGGCGAGCAATTCGTGAAATCACGCTTCCAAGAGCTAAAGGGCTTAATAGAAAAGGAGGTATTTGAAGTTGTAGAATACAACCTTGCGGTCCACGGAACAGGCCGTATATTTAACTCTCGAATGGTCGATAAGGTCAAAGGCAAGAATACCCCCGAATTATACGAAAAATCACGCCTTGTTATTCAAGCTTAGAGCGACGAAGGCAAGTATAATATTCTCACTCAATCCTCGACTATTCAGCGCAATAGCTAGCGTTTGATGATTTCCTTAGCCCTATTCTTAGAATCTTTCAATCAAGCAACAGTTTCTTTGCGAGATATTACTTAAGCCTACGTATCGAGCCAGCGCTACCTCGAGCGTATGATCTTGGCGTATTTGCTTAAGGACCTCCAACACCTATACCTTCCGGGCTACATCCTACTGATTCGTAGACCTTTATACGGGATTGCGGAGGCAAGTACCTATTGGTAAGACACCTACTACAGACACTATAAAGATAAGCTATTCATGGTCTCTTTTATATACGACCTTTGTTTGTTGATCTTTACAATTAGCAAATTCGCTATTATTAAAATGCAAACAAACGACACACTGATGGTAGCTGACAAGGAGTTCAATGACTTAAAAGAGCAAGAGCTTGAGAAAGCTGATTTTAACGCTAAGCCAAAAGAAACGCTTATAATAGAAAACGAAGTGACATTCAATAGAAGAACACTGAAGAAGCTCGCTAATGGCTCGATTCTACTCAAGCAAAAGGACCAAAGGAAGAAGCTGAAGCTAATTACCGAAAATGGAAACAACTATTTAGAACAGCGAGCACGTGCAGCTTATATTGCAAGCTTGTGTTAGCCCGAAGCTATTTTCGACTTATTTACCGCCGCGCAGATCTAGCAAAAGGACTTCACTTTGGACGATATCACCTTCTTGAATAAAAGAATTGCATAAATGATAGAAAACTAGCAACGAGGCTTAATATACCTTAACATCGACTTACGTTCAGCGAAGCTATTCGTATTTGTGGACGAGAGTTTTACTAACAATAAAGACTGCAGTTCACAAATTGGTTTTCTAATCATCTTAGCAACCGAAGAGAAGTTTAACAGCTCTTTCTTTATCTAAAGGAACCTTATCGCTGCTAGTTCTACAAAATGCAAGCGAATAATACGCTTAATACTTGCTTCGGAAATCTATAGCATAGTCTCCGGTGTAGATATTGCTATTTGCGTAGCTATCACTTTCAAAATAATTATTAACAAGCTAAAAGTCTTCGAGGTCCTTATAGTCGTTTGTACCGACTCATATTCCCTTTACGAATGCTTTGTCAAGCTCGGAACTATTAAAGAGAAGCGCTTAATAATCGACATTATAGCTTTTAGGCAATCATACGAGCGCCGAGAGCTTGCAAAGGTCAGATAGATTAAAAGAAAAGATAATTTGGCCGACTCTATAACGAAAATCAACTTAAATAAGTCGTTAGCGACCTTCATTGATACGAACAAAGCCAACGTACGTATCGAAAGGTGGGTGGAGAAAGCATAAGAAGGTCAGGCCGAATTTAGAAAGAACGGTGATAGTATTTTTTACCGACAACGTTAAGAATGAAGGAGCTATTTTTACTTGTATTAGAATTGCAATTGCAATTGCAACTATTGCAATTATAAAAAAGAAAATTGCGAGTGTAAGAATAAGGGGATCGGAGTTAAGGACTCGATCGGGGATAAAGGTGGCCCGTGCTTGGCACGTGCACCTTTGCCATAGCAACCACATGGTGGCCCGTGCACCCATGCACCCAACTACATATAACTGTACCTCGCAGCTAGAATAGCTTCCTCCCCCAAAGACTTAACAACACCACGAATGCAACTACTTGCCATTCGTACCGAGTCTCACGTGTGCACCCTATTGTGTAACCAACAGATACCTATCTATTTTCAGTTGCCCATTGCTTACGTTTTCCCATTGTGCTCTTGCTATATGTCTTTTCTTGTATCTGTAATTTGCGAGGGTGTGGAATCACCAAAGAATGCCGAGTACTGAAAAGTCTTTGCCTCCAGGCTTTCATGGATATCATTTCTGTTTATTTTTTTCTTTTCTTTTTTTTGGATATCACATCTTCTTTCCTGCATTTTTGTTAGTAGCCATATCCGATTTGTCTCCTTCATCTCCAGTGTCTATCTGCCTTTGGCTCGTTTCGCGTTGGCTTACAGAGAGCCCAGCTGCCCCTACTGAGGCGCTAAGCACATCATATTACACCAAAGGTTACAAAAATACCTCTATGATTAGTGATTGAAACGAGCATTGGCACTTATTGCGCTCCATGGAGACCGACTTTATCAGGGCCGTCTATTGGATCTTTGATAGTCGTATTGATCATATACGGCATCTGAATCTGTCACACTCCTGTCGAAAGGTGGAGTAGATAAACAGCCGAACGATCAGATGGGCTCAACAATCTCACTGAATATACCATCCCGAGCACTAGCATTCAGTCCTAATACTTATTCATAAGTTGTTGAAGTCATATTTAGAATCATATTTAAAATCTCGCACACGACATGCCCTACGAAACTTGGCCAAAGCCCTGCAATGCTACACATGAAGTCTCCACTTTGCCTCGCAGTCTATAATATCTGACTGTTCCACCCTCAATCCCACAAAGCAGACTTTTTGTCAGGCCCCTCAAGTTTGATGAGATGGATAGTAGTTTATGGAAAACCGGAAACGCCACATGGGGTGGGTACCGCTTATCCTTCCTGCGCGACAACTAGGCCAGATGCATCCATACAAACGGTATGTTAGGAAGCAGATACAAGAAGTGAGCGCGCAATTTTATGTTACCCTTACTCTACTGCCCACTTTTAATTGACTTTACTTACACATAAAACTTGCTCCTAGATATCGGAGCCGCAGAATCAGGAAGACGCTGATACGTCGACCGCTCTGTCTGATAACATCCCTTGATCATCCCATCTCGCGCCTAGTATGCCATAAAATAAGAACATCTGGGATTAGCACCGAAAAATTCCCAGACAGCAACGAGCGGGAAATTAAGGAAGCGCGAAGCAGTAGTCATAGCTGGGGACGAAAGGAACTATCCTCATGCTCCATCTCGCTTCCAAGCCCCTTGAGCTAAGCGAGCTAAGCTCAATTCGGAAAAGTCAACGAGGCCACCTACCTCTCATATCCATCCACAGTCCCATAGACCGGCGTCACCTGTTCGTCCTCCACTACGGAAATAATGTACAATGTACTATTCTCTACTCGCTGCCTGGTAGTAGTAGTAGGAGGAGGAGGAGGAGTAGTAGTAGTAGTAGACTTTTGAACCTTTAAAACACCATGATACTACTATCACAATTTTCTTTCCCAATCTTGCTAGACTTGGGCTTTCTTACTCACTAGAGCTCAAGCTGTTGGAGAAGGAAGAAAAACCATTGGCTATCGAAAAGTTTCTCGAGTGAGTTCTACTTGGTTTGAAATTATCAAGCGGCTCACCATTTCCACTTTAGTAAAAATAAGCGAAAATGATAAGCTACTTCGCAGTTATATATATGTAAATATATATAAGCTTATACTACTTACGCGAATTATAGCCCGAAGCTAGGGCTATCAATAGACCCAACATTCCTATCAGAGAAACACGTTACGACGATAGAGCGGAAGGCTAACATCAAATGGGAACTGGCTTTTACTTGAGTAAGTCGAATCGTATTTATACATCCCTACTTACTATTAGAATACTGGGTTTATCTCTATTCCTATACTATTTCCTGTACGGAGATTAGCCTCTTGGCTACTCTTACTATATAGCTCTCAGCTCTTTCCTACTAGAATCGACACCTCCCGAACCTCTTGCTTCTATTACTTGTTACGCAGAGCTGATGATTTGAATAGCAAACGTACCTGCTGGCTATCCAGGTCCTGATGGGGCTTTCTACTGTGTTACCGAAGCGGACGTTGGAAAATTTGATAATGCGGCCAAAAAATGGGTTCCAGAAATTTGCACAAGAACTAATTACCTTGGAGATATTGTGATAGAGGAATTATGGGTCGGAGACAGCGAAGCCGTCTTGGAGTGGGTCGGGTCAGAGATGGAAAACCCCGAAAAGGCCTTGCGCTTCGAATATGCCATATATGCCGGCGAGGGTCTGCAAATGGCTATTCCAGATCAAGTGCTAAGCGACGATGATTCGGGTTTATGGGGTAGGTGCTAGAGAACGCCAAAAGCGCCGAGAAAATATTCGAACGAAATCGTTGATTGGAAGAGTTGGGATATTACTGGAGAACCTGGAAATCCTAGCCCTCCAACGAACGGAAAAAGTGGGAGTTGAACCCGCCATTTTGAGGCTCTTCCCAAAAGCGGGCGAAAAAAAGACGTCTTCGGATGGGATTTATGGTTGATGGAATAGGTAGAAGTGTGATGTGTAAAGCGGGCAAGACTTGGGGGCTGTCTTAGTCGAAGTTATGTCGAAAGGACTTTGAGCGAGTATGTGTCACGTGAATTACATATAAAGGCCTGGTGTCCCAGTCTCCGAGACCGGGGATCGAGCAAGTGTGGTGCAAATAATGACCGATAAATAGATTAATTCATTGGAAACCCATGATGGAAAACAGACTGGCAATGAATACAGCAAGGTTTGATGGTAGCCAGTTCATACGTCGTCTCGGCTCTCCGTAGCTCTGTCTGCGCCAACTTGGACACTTCGCCTCATGGCCTCTCCTCTTGCAAGGTTTCAACCGTTCACCGGAATCATCTCCCTCGCCAATGCCATCCTGCGCAATCTTATCAGGTCCTACAGTACTGTATGGAGGGTCATCTAAGTTTTCTCTCGCAGGGGCTTTTGAGTCTCGACTTGTTCATTGGCCCGATGCAACTGATCCGATACACAGCTTGTCTAATCAGATCAAGCCAGCAAGTCTTTGGTGGGGCACAGTATGAAAAGTTTGAATAGATAAGATGGAGGAGGGGAGCGAAAGCGACCTCAAAAAAAACAGTGCATCGCGAAGGAAGAAGCAACAAAGGAAGCTTTCTGTTCTCGGAGTTACTTCTCTCCCCTCCATGAATACACGTTGAAAGTATAATCTTGCAAGGGATCTGACCAGCTCTTAAACGAATCAACTTATACGTAGTACTACTGTAAGTAAGGATTCGTTCAGCCTTGAAAAGTATCTTTGAGCGAGTATTTAGTCTGTGCAATGGAGTTGACAGGGCTTTAAGCCATTCAGAAATCACCGCTATACGATTTATGGAGCTAAACTGGGTCTGACATTACTACGTATGTACGTAGTACCTACAGTAGTATTCATGGGGGGGATAGTACTAGCTAGCCCGGCAGCCACAGGTTTCCAAGCCTCTCCTTCCCAACACATGGGAATCCTCCTCGCTTTCATGGGATATGGATATGGATAGCTATGCCAAACGATCAAACAGTTTCCCCATACTATGAAATAGTAGTACCGGTAGTACTACTGGGAGTTGCTCCGTTTGGGTGGGCGCGGATCGATCACTGGATCGGGCGAAAAACAAAAAACAAAAAAAACAAAAAAATCAAAACGAGACCCCTGCAAAAGAGTCAAGACGAATAGACGAATTACGGAGAAGTACTGTACGAAGAATAAGAAATCTCTTTGAAGTCTGAGTCGAGATCCGAGGAGATCCCGCAGCCAGCCTTACCTGCCTGCCGGAAGCAAGAGAAGAGATACTTGACAAACAATGATCATCGAGTTCGTCTTTGTACTAGAACTGCCTTCCGAGCGGTGATTCAAATCGAAATGCGCCATACTTAATTGCAAAGCGATATTGATTGATCTTCAACTCTAGATCTGCTCGTTGTCTTCGTACCCAAGTACCTACCGGTACTCAACAACTCACTTTTCGTCGTTCATTTCTCGCCGTCTCGGCGTACACACGGGGCACTGATCTGAGGCCTCCGTGCCCTATACCCCTATACCCCTGTCCCCCAGCTACGATATTTCCAGCGAAAGTCCAGCATCATCAGCCAGACAAGCCCACTTCGACGACAACAACAACAACAACAATCTCAACAGCTCGCAGAATCCTCCCTTCTCACCCGCTGCCCTGACGACAACAACAAAAACAACTACAAGCTCCCACACGCCTCCCCATACACATACACATCGAGAAGGCTACCGCTCGACCCGGTCAAATCGACATCCTGGCTCTGCAATCGAATACGTACGGAGGAGGATCTGTGGTTGCGGCCCCAATGGCCCAGCCAGATGCAGAGCCCGTCGAAGAGTACGAGTATGTGCAGCCCCAAAAATCGCAGCTCTCTCCTCTTGTTCTCGCCCCACAGATCGCTGACTTTGTACCTCTAGATATGAGGGCCTGCCACCGAACTTTTCGCTGTTGCAGAACATGACCGCGGGCGCATTTGCCGGCATAGCTGTGAGCCTCTCCCGTCTTCAACATGTGCTTATCGCGCGCGCCGCAGACTGACACTCCGAGCAGGAACACACGGTCATGTACCCCATTGATGCTATCAAGGTATGCGATACCCCCTAGGGAGGCGATTTGTTGAGATCAGAGCTTGCGCTGACCGCATCGCAGACCCGGATGCAAATCCTCAATCCGACGCCCTCGGCAGTCTACAATGGCATGATACAGGGAGGTTACCGGATAGCTACGGGCGAGGGCTTCCTCAGTTTATGGAGAGGCATGTCTAGTGTGGTCGTCGGAGCCGGTACGCATATCTGGTGAATCGGGCGGAGCCGACGCTAATTCTTGACAGGTCCCGCCCACGCGGTTTACTTTGCGACATATGAAGCTGTCAAGCATGTCATGGGAGGCAATCAAGCTGGTGTCCATCATCCTCTTGCGGCAGGTACGTATTTCAGTGTACATTCAACTAGGGCTCTGCTGATTATCCTCCTCCAGCTACCAGTGGGGCTTGTGCAACTATTGCTAGTGACGCCCTAATGAACCCCTTTGACGGTATGGCTCTCGTTCCCCCAATATCGATCCATCTTACTGACAGTACCCAGTCATCAAGCAGCGCATGCAAATCCACAATTCGAGCAAGATGTATAAATCCATGTTCGACTGCGCCAGATATGTATACCGAAGCGAAGGAGTTTCAGCTTTCTACGTCTCTTACCCTACCACCCTCTCCATGACCGTCCCTTTCACTGCCCTCCAGTTCCTAGCCTACGAGTCCATATCCACCGTGATGAACCCCTCGAAGAACTACGACCCGATGACGCATTGCTCTGCGGGTGCCGTGGCTGGAGGATTCGCGGCTGCACTTACAACCCCCATGGACGTTGTCAAGACGATGCTGCAGACGAGGGGAACGGCGAAGGATCCGGAGTTGAGAGCGGTTAACTCATTCATGTCTGGTGCACGGTTGTTGCGCCGAAGGGAGGGCCTGATGGGATTTTTCAAGGGTGTCAAGCCGCGAGTGGTAACTACCATGCCAAGCACGGCGATCTGCTGGTCGGCTTATGAGGCTTGCAAGTCAGTTCCCCCGTATCCCTGGGCATCCTTCGATATACTGACAAGAGTAGGGCATACTTCATCAAGCAGAACGATACCGTCGTCTGATCGACCTCTTCCCAACGACGAAACGAAGGGCAAGCAATAAACCACTTACCCCTCCCCCAATTTCCCCTACAACATAATACACAGCCGGAGCGGCAGAAACCTCTGGCCCTGTTGCTCTCTTCGCACTGTATGCAGTCCCTGGATATACTCGCGGCTCGTCACTTGCGTATGACGACGGTCCTGCGAACAAATGAAACCAACCACCAAGCATACCCTCATCCACCTGTACATATTGCTTCCTGGATGCGTTGCTCTGCTCGGTCTCCGGCAGCTCTGCTCTTGATCGTTTTCTCAGTCTCTGGTTTCGCGCACTGATGTGGTGAGCGATGGCGTTGCTTGCTTGCTTGGTAGGATTTTCTAAGGTTGGGGAGGTGAGGACGGGTGGTGACTAGAAGTCTGCGGTCGGGATTTGTACTTATATGATGATGGGTCGGAGACGAAGACCATTGGCTTGGCTTCGCCCTGATCTGAAACGACAAAAAGGCTTGATACTCTCTGACTGGGCAATAGATATATATATTCGCTGGGGATTATGTGCGTAAGCCGGAATGTGAGATTTCTCAGCCATTCCGCCGGTCAGTCACGCAATGGGATTCTAAGTTCTGAGGTATCAGTTCTGAGGTCTAAGTTCTGAGGTCTAAGGTCTAAGTTCTAAGTTCCAAGTTCCAAGTTTTAAGTTCTGAGCGGTCAGTCAGTCAATCAGTCAGCCAGTCAGTCCGTCAAGTCGGATGCGCTACCTAGGTACCTACCTACCTACCTACCTACCTACGCGGTATAGGTCTCTACCGGTATACGGGAGGCTTGCTTGCCCCCCCCTCCTCCCCCCCTACCCTCCTCTCTCTCTCTCTCTGGGCAGGAAGGCACACCTTTCATTTTCATTTAACGTTTGAGTGAGCACTAACTTTTTTTATTTTTTTTATTTTATTTACTTATTTAAATTCA